TCCAGGCAGGGGGTGGGTGCCTTTCTGGCTGGAGCTGCCCTCCTGTCCTCTTGCCCCGGGGAGGCCTGGCTTCATGGGTGACCCAGCCCGGCCCCGCCGCTTCCAGGCTGCGGGGAGACAGCCCCCAATCCAAGGTCCCTGGTCCCCTGATTTCAGGGGCGTTCCGTCTGATGGGGGGGACTCACTCTGCCCTGATCTTGGGGATCCCGGTCTGATGGGGGTACAGCGTGTCCGATCTGCTGGGGTCCCTCAGCTCCTCTCCTCCAGTGTTCCGTCTAGAGGGCCTGGGGAGAGGGGGTGCCTAGTCCTTGGTTGCAGTGACCACTAGTCTGATGGGGGGTCTAGTCCCTGATTTTGGGGTTGTTGGAGAAAACAGCGTCTGCCACCCAAGGTCCTCCAGGGTCGGCCTCGCTGGGGAAGGAGGTGAGGAAATTGCATTCCAAGCTGGAGGCTGGGACAGGCGGTGATGGGCTGCATTTGCCCTGGAGGGAAGGGCGGCGGTGGGCCCGGCCTTAGGGTCTGTCTTGGTCCTTGCGATGGGGGGTGGGGAGCCAGCCAGGGTTTGTAGAGGGGAGAACCGCGCTGAGTCCTGGTTTGGACAGAAGAGAATACAGTGGAAAAGGGGCATGTAGTTGGGAGAACTGGGAGGAGCTGCTGAGACACCCAGGAAGAGGTGAGGAAGATGGCTGGTCAGTGGGCCAGGAGCCTGGCTGGGGCCAGGAAGGGCTGGGCTGGCGGGGCGGGGCAGGGTGGGGGCCATCTGCAGCCTCCCAGCCCCTCTGTGCCCATTGCTGTGAGCCTGGAAGGGGTGCCAAAGAGGCAGACCAGACCCAGAATTCTGGAGCATGAGGTCAGGAAGCAGGGCCAGCGAGCCGAGTGTAGAGAAGGCAGGGAAGCTCCCAGGAAGCCCTGGAGTGGCAGGTGCTAGGGGACGGGACGGGAGAAGGAGGGCAGAGCCTTGTCCTGGGGTCAGAGGGCACAGCCCTGATGTGAAGGGTCTGGGGGACATGGGTGGGGACAGAGCCTTGCCGCCCAATGCTAGCCGTCCCTGCTGCTGACCAGGGAGGGTAGTCAGAGGGCTGGGCTGGAGTTGGATGTCAGCTCCGGTGTCCCTGTAAGGGGAGCCAGGCTGGCTTGAGCTGTGGCTTGGGCACATCACTGGCTGCCCTGAGGCCTCAGATGCAGAAACTGAGCTGGCCTGGGTACCAGAGATGGGGGGGGAGGGCGGGGGACGATGCAGGGCGAATCAGCTCTGGGCCAAGGACTCCTCCCTGGCCCCTGGGAGCACGACTCCTCCCAGCTCATTAAGGGAAATTGCATTTGGAGTCCATCTACCTGCCATCTGCCTACAGACTATGTAAGGGCCTGGCTGAGCCTGGGGGATCCAGGGAAGCACCAGAAAGATGGGCAGGGCCAGGGCCCATGGCACCACCCACCCCAGCCCTACAGCCTCACCACGACAGGCTGTGAGGCTCAGATGGAGGTGGAGCCTCCACGCTCGAGTTCAGACCCCCAGCAGTGCCCACCACAGGAGACAGCAGATTGCTCCTGTCACCCTCCACCCAAGACCCGCCACTGCCCAGCCCTGGCCCTGACACTGCCCACATGTACTCCAACCACAAGTGTGCCCTGTACCCACAAATGTGTGCTCAGCCCCATGTGTGCCCCACCCCCCACAGGTACCCTGACCCCACAGATATGTGGTACCTACCCCAGTTCACCCTGGTTATGAGAAAAGAGCCAGGGAATCGGGTACGAATCCCTCACAAAGACCCTCTGGCTTCCCGGGACAGGCTGCTGAAGGTGCTCAGTGGAGGAGGAGGAGGAGTAGGAGGAGGAGGAGGAAGTGCCTGGCTCGTGGGAGGACCCAATCCCTGCTTACGGCCCAGGGAAAGGCTGATGGACGGTGGCCTGCGGGCTGCCTTTCCTCCCAGACAGCCAGGGACTCCTCAGGCCTGTCCTTGTTTGGTTCATCGGAGGACGACATGGTGCACAGATGGCCCAGGGTCCTCCCTCCTAAGCACTAACTCCCATCCACACCCTCAGCCAAGCGTGGGGACAGCGGTCATATCCCTGTCAGCCCCGCAGATCAGGGACAGGTCAGGCTCAGACCCTCCCAGAGCCGGCCTGGCCCACCCAGACCCCAGAGCAAGGCCATGTACCCTTAGAACCCCAGGGCAGGGCCCTGTCCCCTCAGTGTCCATTCAGTCCTTCAGGGCAACATCTGTCCATGCAGTCCTCCAAGGCAGGGCCATGTCCCCTACACCCCCCAGGAAAGGGCCATGCTCCCCTCAAGCCCCCAGGGAGCACGCGGCCCACTGGGAAGGTGGGAGGCAGCTGGCTCTGCTCTGCTTGGCTGACTTGCTCCCACCGGACTTACATGGTTCGGCCCCCAGGTGTCGCTGCCGTACTGTGGACAAATGATCTCTCAGGTCCTGTCCTGAAAGGCCTGGTCCTAGCCCTGGTCATTGGAAGTGATTCTGGTGGGCGAGGTGACTGCGAGGCCGGGCGCAGTCACGGGCTCCACACCCTACCCCACAATGGCGGGGGGGGGGGGGGGGGGCAGCACAGGATAGCGAAGTCCCCAGGGTAGTACAGTCCTCGCCTTGTCTCTGGCCTTGGTCCGGAGTCCCCGTCTGCCTGTGGGGGCCCAGGACTGGAGGAGGAGGAGAGACCCACAGGCTCCGAAGGGGCCTTGAACCAGACCGGGACGGGCTGTCCCATTTTGCCCTGTGGGCCTTGGTTTCCCCGAGCGCCGACCACCCTGGCACTCCAAGTCCTGGCCCCGTGGTTCTGGGACTCTGCTCTCTTGTGCTAAATCGGGAACTTCCCAAGGTCTAGGGCAGCTAACGGTGAGCCGCAAGGATTTTTAAAACATGCAACACTCGTGTTTAGTCAGGGGCACTGCCCTCTTTCCCCTTAGATCGGGGTGGGGAACGTCCAGCCCACAGGCGAGCAATCACTTGGTCTGGCTCTGCCAAGGCATCGGGGGTGAGTTAATTAAATGTTTGGCCAAATACAGCTAATTTTAAGTCGATGATTTTGTACGGCCCGCGAATGAGGTTTTAAATATCCAAATGGCCCTTGGCAGAAAAACGGTTCCCCACCCCTGCCTGAGATTGTCAACTAAAACAGTGACAGCAGCCCACACGACAGCCGTCCAGTGTGAATGAATCAAAATTATACCTGTTTTTTTGGTCAGATCAGCAAAATCATATTTCTCAGTTGCCGCGGGACTTTAGTAATTAGTGTATGTGCCATGGGACGAAGAAGGTTGAGAACCACTGTTTTGGGCAATGGCCGTGAATGTCCAAGACAATTGATTCCAGGCGATCATCCTGGGGTGCTGGGGCTAAGTCCTTGCTGAGACCAGGCTTCTCTCAGCCCAGTCCCAGCCCGGGCTCTGCCTGGCTCACTCCCCTCTCTCCCATCCGCAGCCCAGCACGGCCCCGCCCAAGCCCAAGCCGCCGCCGCTGACCAAGGAGACCGTGGTGTTCTGGGACATGCGCCTGTGGCACGTGGTGGGCATCTTCTCCCTCTTCGTGTTGTCCATCAGTGAGTAGCCGGCCCTGCCCTCCCCAGCACAGGGCGGTGGGGCACCACCCCGGGGGCTCGGAGCAGCAATTCCGAGCAATGCAGGCAGGCCAGGCGCCCGTGGGAGGCCTGCTGTGGTTCCTGGCACCTCCGCGGTCCACACAAAGTCCCTGTGGAGGGCGGACAGGCGGTGGTGACCTGAAGCATTCTGCCCAACCAAACGGGGAAGCAGCCACATGGCAATTAGGGTGATTACAGGGGCTCCGGGATCCAGGACGGGACGTGTCATTTTTCCCTATCGGGCCTCCTGATGCTTTTCCTGCGGTTCAGCCAACTTAAAGGGCCCACACCCAGGGGCCCCAGCAAGGCCACCCCCGCGTGGCCCAGATGCCCAGCAGATGTGTCTCCCAGGCTGCAAACCCTGCTTGTCAAATTCCATGGCCCCGCATGCCTCACACCCATCTCAATTAAAAGCAGGAGACCCCTTCCTGGGGGGCGGGGGGTGTTGCTTGACACAAAGTCGAAATAGAAATGGGCTGGACATGCTCCTTGTGGGGGGTCTAGTCTGGAGTTGGGGGAGGGGCAGAGAAATGCCAGCTGGTGGAGGAGGCCGCCATGGCAGAGCCTGAGGGAGGTTCCTACAGGCCAAAGGGCATGGGGGGCACATGGAGGCCCTCGGGGGGAGGGGTGGTGTGGGCAGAGGTCTCAGACAACCCTCCGGACCTTTCCCCGAGCGCCTGGGTCGGGTACGGCGGGCGGCATGCGGGTTCTAAGGGAGCTGTCCCGGGACGAGGTCCCCTGAGGCAGCGCCTACTGACAGCATAAGACACACCCAGACGTGGGGCTCCAAGGGGACGAGGACATCTGACTCGCATGTGCCTCTCCTGGCACCAGAAGTGCCCTCCCTGTGGGAAAATGTCCCCCACCCACCACTTCTTCACAGCCTGGGTGGGGCCAGGATCTGAGCAAGAGGCTGTGTGCGTTCCTAGCGGAGGCTGGGAACCAGGCCGGCTTCTGGGTGCAGGCCCCGCAGACAGACGGGGTCCACGGAGGGGAACAGGCCCCACCCTGCCAGGCGGGTGGGGGCCTCTGTCCTGCAGGGGCCACAGGAGGACCCAGGGGCAGCTCTGGGGCACACAGTGGCCTCTCCCGGGCTCTGCTCGGCCCCACGTGGTAGAGGTGCCTGTGGCCACACAAGAAAGTCGCGGTGCCGGGCCCAGAGGCACCTGGACATCAGCCACGCAGACCGACTCGGGCCCCTCACACCACCTCCTAGAAAAGGGTGAGGACGGCCCACAGGCCCGAGCAGCAGGGCAGCGCGGCTCCTCCAGGCTCGAGAGCAGGGGTGGCCCGAGTCCTGAGGAGGAAACAGCCTCCTGCTCCCCGTCTGCGTGAACCTGGGAGGCACAGCTGTTGCTGGGGCATCACCCCCAGACCCTGTGAAGAGGGACTGGGATTGGATGGGGTGCCTCTGGGAGGGGTCTCCTCCGGCCTGGGCCCTGGAACTCAATCGAAGGTCCTTTGTTTCTCTCCTCCCTTGAAGAGAAGCGGCCAGGCCCGGCCTGGAGCGAGGGGCAGTGTCTGAGCCCTGCCCTGGCCTCCACTGGCTGCCCTTTGTGCTCCCCCTGAAGCCCAGCCTCCCGGTCCGGAAGCAGCTCCCTCCCTCCCCCGAGGCTGGAGCCAACGTGGACAGCCCGAGTGGGCCTGGTCCGGAGGAGGGCCTGGGTGGCTGGAAGACGTGGCACAAGCCAGGAGGGTTGGGGCGAGGGACCGACCTTGGGCGCCGGGCACACACAGGGGTCTGGAGAAGACCAGGACCCAGCTCTCTGGGTCAGAACGGCCTCTGTCTGCTCAGGCCTACCCCACAGCAGAGGCCACTCCGACCCACTGGGGCCTCCTGCAGCCCCCCTCCCCACCCCCATCCATTCATTCAGGAGCCAGTCTTGTCCTCCGCAGCAAAGGCCTTGAGACTATCATTCACTCATTCATTCATTCTTTCCTTTCCTCTGCGATCGGGTGAGACTCAATGGGCCATGATATTTGGCCGAAGTTGCACAGGGCACCTCCAGAAGGTGCTCCTGCCCCGGCCACGTCGGTCGGATCCATCTTCCCCAAATACGCCCGCTTGTCCTGCCCGCCCGCCTGTCCCCAGGAGTCTGCCAAGAGGTCATGTCTGGTCATCGATGTATAATAGGAATTAGCTCCATCCCTCCCCTGAGGCTGGGCCCAAGGTGGTCAGACTGTGGGGGCCTCAGAAAAATAAACTCAGTTCAGCCAGGTCCGGCAGCCCTGCCCGCCATGCCCATCGCCAGGCAGGCCAGCGCCGTGCCCTGGCCACGGTGCCTGGGCATCGCCGCCCCCGCAGGAAACCCGCTCCCGGAATAACTCGGTCTGAGGTGAGCCCGGGGCAGGGCTGGGCCCTGGCGGCTCACAGCCAGGGGAAGCGCAGGCTGGTCCTCAGAGGGGAGGAGGTGCAGCTGCATCCTCCAGCGCTGACCCGACACACGGAGCCCAGGGGCCTGGGTGGAGGCACAGGGCACCTCCCGGAAGCCGTGGCCTGCGTCGTGGTGCAGCCATGTGCCCTGCCCTCCGGGGACTCTCAGTCTGTTCAGGAGGACCTCGGGACCAGGACCCTTGACAGGGCAGGTGCCAGATGGAAATATGAGGCCCCTGGTTCAAAAGGCATTAAGAATTTCACGACAGTGAGAGCAGAGCGCTAGCCCAAGCACCAGGCCCTTCTCGGGTGCCTGACGCACGTGGCCAGCCCCGGTCAGCAGAGCCCTTCAGAATCCCAGGGCCTGCGGGGTTTTGTCAATGCGAGCCTCGCCCTGGCCTGTTTGGCTCAGTGCATAGAGCGTCGGCCTTCGGACTGAAGGGTCCCTGGTTCGATTCCGGTCAAGGGCACGTGTCTGGGTTGTGGGCTCGATCCCCAGCAGGATGACTCTCTCTGTCCTCCCTCCAGTTATCACTCTGTGCTGTGTTTTCAACTGCCGTGTGCCACGGACTCGGAAGGAGATCGAAGCCCGGTACCTGCAGCGGAAGGCAGCCAAGATGTACACCGACAAGCTGGAGACAGTGCCGCCCCTCAACGAGCTCACGGAGGTGCCCGGAGGTGAGTGACCCTGCGGAGCCAGCCCGTGCCTCAGGCCTGCCCCCCAGTAGGTTCAGGGAGGGGACCCAGCTCCATCCCTGGGCACCAGAACACAGAAACTGGTCAGAGTGAGGCGGGTGGAACAAAGAGGTACTGTGCAGGTGGGAGAGGTGTGGAGGGAAGAAGGCAGTGAAGGGCTGGGTGTGGAGGCTGTGGGTGAGCCTTAGGGTGCTGTCTCACGCCTGCCGCATGCCCCTTTACCCCACAGATGACAAGAAGAAGAAGAAGAAGAAGGACAGTGTGGACACAGTGGCTATCAAGGTAGAGGAGGATGAGAAGAATGAAGCCAAGAAGTGAGGAGAGACACGAGGACAGCTTCCTGGCGGTGGCAGCTGGGGCTCAAGTCCTGGCTGGGGCCCAGGCATCCTGGACTCCACGCTCCTTCATGAGCCAATCAGGGGCTGGGACCAGACCGCAGGTGTCCTGCCTCCCAGCCTGGACTCTGCTCCTTTTACCATGTCCACGTGGCCGCTCAACAAAGCGGGTCTGGGGCCACTGTCCCTCTGCAGATCCAGAGCAGCCTCACACCCCCAGACACGCCTGTCTCACCCCTTTGGCCAGAAACAGCAGTGGTGCTAAAGGAGTGATACGCTGTGGGATCACTCCGGAAAGGCACGTGAACCGATGTGAACCGGACAATCAACCGGGCGCTGTGGCAGCAGGCAGTTCTCAGGCCTTGCTGGACAGCAATCCTGGGGCGAGGGGTCAGCCCAAACCTAGCAGGGGCTCTGGTCCAGCGAGGTGGGCAGAGGTGGCCAGAAGCAGGAGAACCCCCAGCCCAGCAGACTAAGCCCCTGGCAACAGGATGCACTTGGTTCACGCTCAGTGATGGAGCAGAGGATGCTGGGGGTCAGCACGAGGCCCGGCTCAGGGCTGGGCTGCAGCAGTCACGGGTGCAGGAGGCTGAAGCCGGGGGCCGGGGAGGAGGGAAGAAGGCTGCTACCTGGGCCCCTCTAGGAATCCAGGGAATATCTGAGAAGTCAGCGGGCCCTTGGGCTGCGCTGCTGTGGGGGAGGTGTCAGGGCCCCAGGGGATCACTGAGGGGACAGTTGGGGGTTGAGGCCGCCTCTTCTCCCACCCTCAACAACAGGCCCTCGGGATGAGGGATGCGGAGGGGCTTCCGAAGGGCAGCGAGCATCAGCCGGGCATCCACCGGGCCTGGGGACTAAGGAGATTCCAGAGGTTTCCGGGCCAGGGGGCCTGCAGAGATTAGTAAATAAAGCAGAGCGCCTTCCATCCCCGACCGATCTGGAGTGAAGGTGACAGCAGCAGAGGCCAGCTGACCTTCTCCAAGCCCGATTAGGGTGAGCTGGAGGGAGTCAGGTGACCAAGAGCAAAGGGCAGCTTTGGTTTCAACAGGCCTTCGAGGGTCTGAGCCCAGTGCTGGGTGTGTTCTAGCCACGGCCAGGAGCCGGGCTAAGGTCAAGAAGAGCCCGACTCCAATTAAATTAACAGAACGAATACCTTCAACTCCGGGCCCAAGAGCTGCCCCTCCCAGCCTCACGCAGTCCAGCAGCGCCAGCTTCGGCCTGGGCAGGGCATTCCAGGCCCTCCATCGCCTGACCCGATGTCATCCCTACACACACTCCCCCACCTTCTGCAGGAGCCACCCTCCCTCTGGACGGAGGCCGGTCCTGGGCTCTGCCCTTTCGGCGCCCGAGCCCCCACCCCACCCCATCTTGTTCAGCCGTCTCCCACCCGAGCAGCCCAGAGAGCAAGGGCCTCCAGGACCAGGAAGGAGGCTGCGTGAGGAAGAGAACTGTTTAATTGAGCACCTGTCTCGGCCCTGCCGGATGGGACAGGAGAGTGGACCTGTAGTGTCCTGGACCAGGACGATGAGGGGGCCTGGGGCCAGAGGGCGCCCCCAGAGATGGCCTGGGAGCATCAGCAGGCAGCAAGGAGGCTGAGGGGCAGCGACAGTGCCAGGAGCAGGGCCCTGGACGGGGCTGGCAGAGCCTGCCCGTTGATGCGCTTCCAGATCCAGTGTTGGTAGGTGGAGATGCGCAGGTAGATGGGCGGGGCCTCGTTCTGGCCGCAGCCGGGGCCCCAACTCACTATCCCCACCAGGAACCACGTGTCCTGCACAGGACAGGACAGGGGCTCCCCACTGGTCTCCTGTGGGAGGTGGGAGGACAGAAGGGTCAGGGAGGCCAGATGTGGCCCGAAGGAGAGGGGACCCAGCTCAGGGACGAGCAGGGTGCTTCACACAGATCTCCCCACACCCCTGAGTGTCACCGGCTGAGCAGGACCCAGGAGGCCTCCCACAGAGGGTGCATCTTCCTGCTCTCTGGGGTCAGTCCTCCATCCCCCGCTCCCTTTAACCCACCCTCCGTCTTCCCACCCCCCACTCTCCCACCTGACCTCATCTCTCTCCTCCATCCCATCTCCCTTCCCCATCTTCCTGCTCCATCGCCCTGCTCATTCCCTCCCCACTCCCCTCCTCTCCCTCCCCCTCTCGCCCTGGCCCAGGGCCTGGAGGGCAGGGGCAGGTGCTCACATAGCAGAAGTGCTTCCTGTCGGTGTCCTGCACACAGATCATCTGGGAGTTGATGACCCGAACCAGGGAGGGGATTTTGGAGAATCGGTGGTAGAAGTTCTCACACTGCTTGCTGTTCAGGGTCGTGACCTCCTTCTCCCGGATGGTCCGGAACTGCGGCCACGTGCCTGTGGACAGGCCCCCATTCGGGGGGCGGGGGGCTGCCACCTGCCTTGTCGCCCACCCGCTCGGCTCCTCGCCACGCCGCCAGCCTTTTCCGCTGGCCACACAGCAGCCAGGGAGGGGGGATCTCCAGGCTCAGCCCACCCGCCATCTCAGCCCGCCCTCCCCCAGCACCCCTTGAGAGGGACCCCGGGCAGGGCTCCCAGTCTGGCCTCACTGGACCTGGTTTACCTCCCGCAGAGTAAACCGGTTTACCATCCACTGAGTCCATCCTACGTCAGCAGCTTGGCTTCTGCCCTTCCTTCCACCCCAAGGCCCCCCTCAGAGGCTCCTCCCTGAGCTTGCCCAACGCCCCTCCCCCAGTCCCCAGCACAGCTCCCTCCCTCCCCTCCGCCTGTCAGTCCATAGCCTGAGACAGGGACTTCTGATCATCCCCAGCCATTGACAGCTGGGGCAGGGAAGACAAGAAAACCAGCCCCTCCCCTGGGCTGGAGCCCCGTGGCCATTTCAGACAAGCTGCTCTCGAGGCACCTCCAGTGGGAAAGGCTAAGGTGCCTGCAGGGAGAGGGCATTCCTGGGCTTGCAAGGAAATGGACCCTTGAAGGGCCGGGACAGCACTCCGCTCTGGGCCTTGCTCCCGAATTGGGATGACATGGGGCTGAGGACCCTGGGGGCCCCGAGTGACTCCCAGACTGTGGTGCCTTGGCCAGCCCTGTGGGGTCCTCGCCTGCTCCTCTCACCTCGACGTTCTGCTTCAAGGCACGGCCCCCCTGGAACTGTGCAAACAGCAGAGCCTACTCTGCATGCTCCTGCCTCGGGAAGCCCTGTCCACATGCCTGGCCTGGCTGAGTGCTCACGGGCATCGCTGCCCCCACGGCCTGAGGCCGCGGCGTGCTCACTGCCGAAACCCTCGACCACCTTGGATAGAGGAGCCCGACAGGGCCCAGCTGGCGTGGCTCAGTGGTTGAGCATCAATCTATGAACCAGGAGAAAAGGGTGCGATTCCCGGTCAGGCACTTGCCCAGGTTGCAGGCTCAATCCCCAGTGGGGGGCGTGCAGGGGGCAGCCGATTAATGATTCTCTCTCATCATTGATGTTTCTATCTCTCTTTCCCTCTCCTTTCCTTTCTGAAATCAATAAAAACATAAAATTTAAAAAAGCCCGACAGGAAGGTGGGAGCAGGGGGCTCCCGGGATGATGTCTCAGACCCAGCTGTGCCAGGCCCTCTCCCACGCCCCGCCCTGGTCTGGAGGTGCGACTCACCGTTCGCCCTGGGGAGCCCCCAGCCTGTCACGGTGCAGAGGGAGAAGTCCTTCACCCTGTAGTCCAGGCCGGGCAGGCAGATGGGCCAGACGTACTTGCTATAGTTGAGCGTTCTCTCGAGCTGCAGCAGGGCAATGTTGTTGGCCTGACCCACCCAGGACCAATAGCGATGGGCCCGGAACCGGCTGTTCAGGATGACCTGGTGCACCCGGACGTCGGCCGTAGTCTGAGCCCTCTGGTCAATCCAGGGGCTCCCCACCCGCACGGAGTAGGTGACATTTTCCCTAGGGAAGCGCCAGGGGAGCCTGCCATCAGCGCCAGGCACCCCGCCCCAGCCCTGACCCACTGCCACTCTCCGGGAAACCCAGGCAGGCCACCCACCGACTGCAGGCCCCTGAGCCTCTCCTCACAGCAGAGGTGAGCGGAGCCCTGCACACACAGCGTGGCCGTGTCCTCGCAACAACCCTTCATTTCCGTGGAGGGGAAGCCGAGGCTCAGAGAAACCCAGGGACCAGCTCAGGGCTACAAGCTGGAAGTGGCGGAGGTGGGACGTGGGCCGAGCGTTCTCTGGATTCTGTCCCGGCCGGTGATGCGCCCAGGAAGTGGCAGGCCCCCTGCACGGGCCCTGGCCTCGCCCTCGGGCCTCCTTCCCCAGCATGCCTCTGGAGTCTGTGTGGACCCTTAGGCCCGATCACAGGCCATCACGCTTCTGCACTGGCCAGCCCTCATGGCCAGCACAGGTGTCGCCTCGGGCCGCCCCCCGGGCACCAGCGCATGGGCATGCCCTCCCTCTTGTCCCCACACTAATGAGACGCCCCTGCGAGCACCTGAGGAAGTGGTGGGTCCTCTCTGGCCCCCAGTGCCCAGGCCAGGGCCTGGCTGCCAAGGAGTGTCAGGGCTGTTGGTCGATGAAGGAAGGAAGGAGTAAGGGAAGCAAGGTGTGTGCCACGAAAGAATTAGGGCCTTCTTTCTTGGAAGCGGGCTCAGGACCCAGGCTCCCGGGCGGGGGAGCCAGCGCTCTGCTCCCAGGAAAGACTGTAGAACTGAGCTCCGCCTGCTGGGAGCTGGGGTGAGGCTGGGCCTAGGACTGGGGGGCTCTGCCCGGCACAGCTGCCACGGAGGGGCCAGCAGGTGGGAGGACAGGGCCCACGTGGCTCCAAATGCCTTTCCCCGCCCACCAGACCCCGACTCACTGGGTCAGGCAGTGGGCCACGGTCAGCACCCACTGGGCGGCGATGAGGGCGCCTGCGCACACGTGTGTGCCGTTGGCCTGCACGCTGACCATCCATGGCCACCGCCGAGCGATGGCCTCTGGGTCCCTGAGGGTGGGGTCCTGCTCCTGGGATGCGCCGCAGGCTGAGGAGGAAGGCGAGCCTGATGAGGGGGGGACCCAACAGCCGCCTCCCAGGGCACCGCCCCACCCCCCAGCCCC